GACATAATCAATAATGTGGAATTTTTGCACAACTTCCTAATGAAGAGAATCTACTTGTGTAAGATACATGAACTCTATTTGTATTATTCACTAAGAGAATCTATTTGTCAAATATATTTGGAGAATTTGCTTATAAAATAGTATGTATTAGAAATAACTAAAATTAAATCTTAAGAATGGGTTTCAAATGTAAAGTACATTTTTAGAAAGTTAATACTGAACTAAATACTATAGGCCTATAATATGAACAAAACTAAAAGTTTGGGAATACAAAGTTGTTTTTTATTTTTAAATCATAATGTCTTGGAAATTCATTTTGGCCAAATAGCATTAGAAAAATTCATTTTGTATGTGCCTATGTTACTTTGCAAAATATTTGCTGTTGTCATCTATTTGCTAACTTTATTTTTGAATGATGTAATGTGAAGTTTCTATAACATGCATGTTGAAAATGATTTCAGTGAGATCTAATGTTGTGGACAGTCCACCTCTGTATGAAACAATCCATGATTACCCAACTTTGGATGCTACGACCAACACTACGCTGTATGCACGAACACTTCCACCAGTTCCACTGGACTGCCCAACACCAATGGGAACTAAAGGTAGGCCTATTCTGAAATCTTTATGTACTGTTTTGGCTGCTTTACTGAAGGGACATGACTATGTACTCTTATTATTCCATACTGTAGCTTACACAAAGTTCAATTGACAATGCCAATACAATTACATTTTCTTTTTACAACTCTAGGTCCTAAAGTGCTACCAAATGTAGAATTTTTAGCCAAACAGTTTTTTACCAGAACCAAATTTCGTCCAGACCCAATGGGCAGCAGTGTCCTCATGGCTTTCTTTGCCCAACATTTCACTCACATGTTCTTCAAAACAGACGTTAAGAAAGGTCCAGAATTTACATGGAGTGGACATGGGGTAAATTGTCTTCTTTTTAATATAGCTATACGTTTTTGTTTTTAAAAATAAAATCACGTTTAATTATATAGTTGAACATTTTTTAATTTTTAAAAAAATTTTCTTTATAAAACAAGTTTGAAGTCTTATATATATATATATATATTTATAACCAACATGTACGAGGATCTTATTTTGAAATTTTGTTTCTGCATTACAATGACCATTATTTCTCTTTATTCACGAAGGTTGATGTCTCATCAATATATGGCCGCAATGTACATGAGGAAAATCTTCTAAGAAGTTATGACAGTGGAAAACTTAAAATGCAGGTGAGTTTGTTTTCAAAACTATTTGAGCCTTAATTTTTTCTTTATTTAATTGCAAATTTAAAAAAGCAGCAATGAATTTAAGCATATACTTACATTATATTTATTATATATTAAATTTCTTTAGTTCATATTTGTACATTATATTCATAGACTATAAATGGCGAGGAATACCCCATGTTTACCAAAGATGTGCCAATAACGATGGGCTACCCACCAAATCACCCAGACACTCTTAAATTTGCTATGGGACATCCATTCTATGGGCTGATGCCAGGCCTCTTTCTGTATGAGACTATTTGGATGAGAGAGCATAACAGAGTCTGTGATATCATGAAACAGGAACACCCTGACTGGGATGATGAGAGACTTTTTCAGACAGGGAAACTTATTATTTTAGGTGAGTTTTGTACAGGTCAGGAAATGAAGGTCCAAAATATTATTTGGGATTTGGATTTCTTTTAAATTGTCACATTTTTCTAGGAAGGAGTTCGTCCCATTCTTTTTGTGGTATTTATGTCACAGCAGCCAAAGATTTATGGGTTATAAATACTTTTTTTCTTGACTGCATTCCTGTGAAATAAATTCCACTTAATGAATGATCAGTATACTGCTCTCATGATAGCCAATTTATAATTTTAAAGCTTGATTGTTGGTTGGTCATGCTGCAGTGATGACAATGGGCTGGGTGCCAAAAAGTTCTTATCTCACCAATAGTCTACCACTACCACCCTTCATTGGTTATGTTGGGAAAAAATTATAATGTTCATTATGTTTGATCAAATTATTGACATTGTTCATTGACATTGTTTGAACTATTATGTTCTATAAGCCTTTTTGCTTTTCCTAATTCAAGTTAATGTTTTACAAACTTTTTTTTTATCAAAATTCTAATTTTAATTGTTTTTAGGAGAAACCATCAAAATTGTTATTGAAGACTATGTTGAGCATTTGGCTAATTACAATATCAGAATCAAATTCAAACCAACAGTATTATTTGGTGAAAGCTTCCAGTACCAGAACAAGATAAATGCAGAGTTCAACCATTTGTACCATTGGCACCCATTGATGCCTGATGAATTCAATATCAGTGGCACCATTTATCCTATCAAAGACTTTATCTATCATTTAGAACTTGTTCTCAAACATGGCACTGCAAACTTTACAGATTCACTTTCTCGTCAAAGAGCTGGACATGTGAGTATATTCTATTTAAGTATCTTTAAAAAACATTACATTTAGTTTATATTTCCAATACAGATAAGCCAATTCATTCTGTACAAGAAATATTGAACAGATTCTACATTTAGGTTATATTTCCAATACAGATTAGCCAATTTCTTCTTTAAAATATTGAAATGATCAATAATTAGAAAATTAAATTCTTTTTTGCATGCTAATCTGATGGTTGTTTATATTTCCTGTAGATGTCTCACCATAATCATGGTCCGTATACTATTAATGTACTTAAAGAGACAATCCTTCATGGCAGACAGCTTCGCTTACAGTCATTGAATAACTACAGAAAAAGATTCAATCTTGACCCATATACATCTTTTGAAGAATTGACAGGTAAGCTGTTGCTCAAGGATTTAAAGTTGTTTGGTAGATCTTGTACGTAGACTGTACATAATTAAATCCCAGTAAATACTTTTTTATTAGTCTTAAAGGTTACATGAGCAAAGACAAAAAGTCCTGTACTCCAAAACTTTGCCAGAGAATAAAACTTTAAAAAAAATTATATTAAAATTTAAAGTTAAAGTGCCTTTTTAAAAAGTTTTCTACTGATTTTCAACACAATATATACAGTCGAATCGATTAATTGAATCAGCCAATATATTGGGACTGAGTCCTAAACTACTAAGCTATCCTATTAGACAGTTGAATCCAGTTAATTGGACCAGCTAATTATTTGGACTAAAATAATTGCTTCCTGATGTAGTGTCATCAGATTTGGCTTTTATAAAATATCAAACATCATAAATTGAAACAAAAACAATTGTTTTTAAAATTAACATTTTTACAATATAAATATTGGTTTGAGAATCATTTGCAATCATGTTAATTGTGGTTTGGATATCATGTTATTGAATGTACTAAAAATTGTTACGAATGTACACTTGTGTGTATAAAATACTTTTGTTAGCAATATTTCCTGTGCTTAACAATGACTTACCGGTACTGACTCAAACATGGGCACACCCAGAGGAGCATAGGGTCGCAACCACACCTCTCCACCGAACTCGGTTCTGAACAGCTTTCTTCTTCTATAGAGCCTTCCTGGCCCAGTTCTAGTTGATTTGGTGTGTTTATGGTTTCTGTAGCAATAGTTTAGTGATGTGAAGTTGTTACCCTCCTCCTTTACCCAAGCTTGAGACCAGCAAGATACCCCTATTAGATGTACCCAGGCGGAGTTGTGCTTAACAATACCATAAGATAATTTGTTTTATTCTCTTAACATTTTTTTCTTGTTTTGAAATTTAAGGTGAAAAAGAGCTTGCTTCACAGTTAGAAAAACTTTATGGTGACATAGATGCCGTGGAGTTTTACGTCGGCATTTTGATGGAGAAGCGAAGAGCAAAAAATCTATTTGGTGGCACCATTGTGGAAATAGGTGGCCCATTTTCAGTCAAAGGATTAATGTCTAATGCCATCTGCAGCAGACATTATTGGAAGCCTTCTACCTTTGGGGGTGAAGTGGGATTTAACCTCATCAAAACAGCTACACTCAAAACTTTGTTTTGCAACAATATAAAAGGTCCATGCCCTTTAGTTTCTTTACGAGTGCCTGACTACAGCGATGGAGATGTTGATGAGGACAAGACATTTGAATTTAAAAAATTAGATGATGAATTGTAGCCATACATTTAGAGAATAAATTTTATTTATTTCTTTTCTGTAAATATTAGAATATTGATTTTTGAGGTGCATTTTGTTGCACACACTTTTGACTTGAGATTACTTTTTACATTTTTTTTTAAAGAAATTTTTAACAAACTAGAACTGTCTTTAATAGCATTCTAGCATTATATTATTGCTGAGAACTGGTTGTGAGACAGTTTTTTAACTTATTTCTTCATTAGAAACAAGTCTCTTTGATATTTATAAAAGGCATTCATCTTTAAGTATTTTTTAAGTTTTTAGAGCAATACTTTCAACCATGTAAGTTTTATTGTTACGTTTAAAAATTGTTTACATTTTTAATCTTTTACCGATCAGTCTTTGTTTTTTTTAAGTCTTGTTTTAGTTTATTTTGAAAAAAGGTTTTTTAGCACGAGTTGTGTTGTCGGTAACATATCCACATGAACATAATTATTGATTCAATAGCAAACTTTTTCAAATCTTCAATGACACTTTCAACAATGTCAGTATTGTATTATTTAAACCATGTGACTTCAATGTACTTAATCAATTTTAATGATAAAATGTCAAATTTCTGCAATGTGTTCAGACCACATGTAAAGTGGTCAAAATATTTTGAATTCCAAATATATATTTTGTATTTTTTCTTTTTTTTATCCAATGGTAATATTTTAATAACATAATTTTATGAACTAGTCTTGTGCATTTAACAAAGCCTTGCCACTTTATTCACCTCAATAATTTGGAAGTAATATTTGGACTTGTTGAAATTGTTTTATGAAGAATCTCATTTATTTTAGTGATTTATGAATTTAATTTAAAATGTCACGATTTTGCTTGCAAACTTCAGATTCTGTATTTGTGGTTGTATGGCTGGTAACAAATGTTTAACAGGTCACACGCGTTGAAGCCTAGTCTTAGAATTTTAATGGTATTATTTATGGCTTGGGGATTTACAGTTATATAATTTTATAAGAATGTAATGTATACAGATGTTCCATGTGAAGTGAAATAATTTTGCCAGTGTTTTATCTCAAGTGTAATGCATTTTATTTTTTGAAGCCCATACATTTTTATATTTGTAGTGGCAGTAAATTTAAATTTGTAGTAATTAACATTGTATGAACATAATATTGGTATGCATGTGTCAGTGTTTGTATCTAGGAGATGTAAATGTGAGAAACTTCTATCAAAAGATGTTTGGGTAAATGTTTATAAATGCTTGTAAATGTTTTAAACTATTTTTTACTTTTCTTAAATGTTTTTTAAACTAATTTTTGTAAATATTACATAATTTGAGCAAAATGTGTAATGGAAGAATGTATATTTAGTGTCAAGTTCAATAAAATGTCTTGTGTGTGTGTGTGTATTTCATGTGAATGTTTCTGAAACTTAAAAAATAAATAAATCTGATGACCATTGACACATGCTTGTATTCTATTTAAAGTTGTCCATCTAGAGAAGAGATTTAGGGCTTTTTTTTTTTTCCTTTTTGTATTTCTCCATTAATTTACTAAATTCAGAAAGCTTAAAACCTATTTAGTTGCACTGATCATCTATTTAGTTGCACTACCATCTATTTAGTTGCACTGATCATCTATTTAGTTGCCCTGATCATGTTTAGAATGTTCAGCTTATTTAAAGGGAATATCCTTCTTTCAAACCATATTTCTAAGTTAAAACTGTTACACAATACAGCACTTTCAGACACAGCTATCTCAAATATTTTTTTGGCTCGCCAATGATTGGTTTAATTTTATTCAGTGCGTTTGTATCTTTCATCACTCATTCAACTCAAACAATATTAGGGACCAGAACCCCCCTCCCCCACCAAAAAAAAAAATTGTTCTTATTTTTACTTATGCTAACAGTTCACCAGAAACTATTACTATTGCTATAGTTTATAGAATAGCCTGAAGCAGTTTTAGGTTAAAAAAAAAATAGAACTTATTTATTAACTTGATAAATTAAAGGTAAAGGTGTAATGTCATGGTCTGTATGAGAAAAAGTCCTTGTAATCACAAATTTCCATAAGGATCAATAAAGCAGTCTTAGTCTTAGACTGTCTTGTGTAGGTGATAAGGCTTGTATGGAGAAGGTGATAAGGCTTGTATGGAGAAACAAATCCTGTCAATTAGAATCCTTTTTAGCAAACAAATGTTGGGTGCTCTAATACTTGCAGTATATGGACAACAAAAATGTGAACATCTGCCCTTACAGTTTAGGTTAGGGCCCAAGTTAATGAAAGACATTACTCTAAGTCAATTATGTCTTCACTTCAATCATTCAATGAACTCTTACTGTAGAATTACAGAAGCATTTGAACAAATTGTTTCTAGGTCATGAATTATGTGTGATGGATTGTCGTTCAGTCGTCTAGATGGTCCCTTGCCCACTGCCATCCCTTGTCCTGTGCTAGTAAGTAGATTATCTTCAACTCTTAAGGAACATCGGAAATATTTTACATTTTTAAAAATGAAACATTAAAACAAAGAAAATAAGTGTTGGTTGTGAATTTCACTGACTCGAACTTTAAAAAAAATATTTTTTTTAGTGTATTTCATTATAAGCTTTTAAAATTTCTCTATTATTTAAAATAATTTCAATGCATTCACATTAATTTCCTAAACATTTCAAATGATTTTTCCTTGAGTACTCAGATTGCATACAGAGCATCAATTCACCCAAATAACATTTCCAGACAATTTTGATATAGAAGAAAACAGTGTTCAGTATCATTATTTACTATTTTAATTTCATTAATTTTCATTGCAGTATTAAATTTTAAAAGTGTAAACTGAATTTCTTAAAATGTCAATGTATTAGATCTCAGTGCTTAGCAACCATCTGAGAGAAAGGACAGAAAATCCCTGCACTAATTTGTGGATACTTTTCTAAAAGCTGGATCTGTTGATCATTGTCACAAAACACTGAAAATAAAATGCTAGAAGAATACAAGAGACAAGGCGAACACAAAAATATAATACCATAAAATATTTTTATTGTCTAGTTAAACTGGATTATTAAATATAACAATTTTGTACATGCAACAACCATGTCATTGTTCAAGTATATAAACCATGAAAGGATATCCACAGGACATCAAAATAATCAAAAGAACTCCTGGATTCAATCCGTTTTAAAAATGATATCTCAATTAGTGTAAGACAATATCAAAACTTACTAGCTTTGTTACAATTGTTCAGGAATGTGTATAGTCTATAAGGCAGAACTGCTTGGAACATTCAGTTAACAAAATGAATTAACCACAACCATGGAATTTCAACATTTCCAGACCCTGTATTTGTGAAGAACTTTTGTTTCAAGAAATTTGAAATCCACAATTTTGTTTCAACAAATCTTGAACTTTGCACAACTAAGTAAACATTGGTAATAAAAATGTGCCTCTACCTTCCACTGCCACAATGTAAGCCCAGTAAATTATCAAAATATATAGGAATGTTATCATGACTCAGGTTTAAAGACTAGAATATTTTACATTGGACAGTAGTAGCCTCAATTCAGTGAATCCAATAAATGTACTTTATTATAATTTCAAGACTATGCTTGACAAAGACAAAATTCTAGTATCCTAATAGGACCATTGGTAGCTGTATTAGTAAACAGATTATGCTGGAATGGACATTTAAGAATTACATTAAGAGTAGCTACCACACCACTTCAAAGAATTAATTCTTTGATTTAAAAAAAAGTTATGAAATAAAAATTAATTAACATCCTTTTAAAAACTAGGTTCCTGTTTTGGACACAGAAAAAATAACTGTTTGAATGATCATGGTATGAATAGATTTGATATGCACACATAGAAAACCAAGTTGATGGCATAAACATATTCTTTGAAAGGATGCTACATAGTACCTTGAATAAATGAAAATTGATGAAGTAGCCTACAGGAATACTTTTTAACAGTCTAGAAGGTACTTATCATTTTTAAGACTTCTCAAAAGAACCATGAAATTAAACTACCATTCTATCTAGTATATCTATCTAGTATCTAAATCCTGTATGTCTGTTTTAAGCATCCATCTCAACAATTTAGTTGAAAGGAAAGAAGTTGTACAAATGTTGACCATCATACATTTATGTAAATCTGTTGCTGCTGCAGCATTAAATACTTTATGAGGCTTCTCAACACCTCTGTTGACTAACAGAATTAAACACATACATACTTACAACTACTGGGATAAATGTCCAAACAGGAATGCAACAACATATTTAACAGCTCAATTTTGTTTTCTAATGTTTGATAGTAACTAAGTGATTGACCCATTAGATCCTATTTGGAGTTTGGAAGCTTATTAAAAACTCTAAGAGAAAGGAATAAAATACAATATTACTTTAATATAATGAAGTAAAAATAAATAAGACATCAAAACTTTTGCTTTGACCAATGAAGAATAACATAAAAAATATATTTAAAAAATTAAATAATACATGATGTTTATAAAATTTGATTAATGAATCAACTTAGGACACAGCCTCTAATATTATTGCCTGTGCATGGAGATGTGGACATGATTTGATGAAATAGGGTTTGTAATCAACAACAACAACAATAAAATATATAATTTTAACAAAATTTGAATTTAATAAAAATAATGAAAGTTTCATGTTAGTTTTGTTACCAGAAAATATTCTTTTGCAGGAAAATTTAAAAAATACACGAAGTACTTTTTAAAGCATTAGGAGTTAACTGTAACTACTGCATTCACTCAATTAGGAGCTAATAGGCTGCTCATTAAGTCCACTATACCTTTTAAAAGGACTGTTTATTACAAATACAAATTAAAAGAAACATACATATTATTTAGAATGCAGCCCCAGTTCTCTGTATACTATAGTGTTTAATTAAGGCACCTTTTTAAAACGTGCACTAAAATATCAGTCAATATTTACAAGAACAAACCATAAGTAAAAATGCATCTGTTCATAGCAAATGTACATTGTATTATATAATCTTCACATTTTGGGGGTCAAGTGGATTATGTAATAAAAAAAAATAGTCATTCAAAGTGCACTACATTGGTTTGTTCCATGGAGTAAAAAAAAATGAACCAATTGCATAGAGATTTTGAGCTGAAAGTGACTTGTAACTAGCTAGTAGTGTGTTAGAGATGTTGTACAGTGCATACTAGCAGCCCATAATAAGTAACTACTGATCATATTGCTTAAGCATCTCATAACATTAGAGGTGTTATTCCATTATCTAATAACTTATAATGCACAAAAAATTATCAGACTGCCCAGGTATCCTGCACCAAACAACGAATTATCATACAGTCTGGGTATACTGTACCATATAACAAATTATCAATTTGTCCAGATATCCTGTACCATATAACAAATCATCTTACAGTCATTGTTTGTCAGAGATGCCCAAAAACAAAAAGGGAATTAGATGCAGACATCAATAAATACAAGAACATAAAAATGACAAAAGACCTGAATAAGGTCACATTGTTTGTAGACAAGAATAATGTCACATTGTGATGATATGTTTTACTTTACACAGATCTAAGTATGTCATCTTTTAGTTCAAGAAAAAATGAGAATAATTTAAGAATGTAACTTCTACTGGGACAAACTTTCAACAAAAAAAGATGGGCTAAGTGATCTAAACAGTTTTAATTATTGTAGTCGCAGATAATCTTTAATTAATACAATCCTCTAATCGAAATTCAAACTGCAATAACATTCTTGTACTATTTTAGTTTTATTGACCTAAATTATTCTTAAATCATTCTAAAAATATTTTTACCACATAAATGTAACTATATAATTGCAGCAGAATATTTTTTTAAAGAACTAATTTCCTACTAAAACATAAATTCAAATCTGAAATTAATATAATAATCCAATTCAACAAAAGAGATTACAAAAAAAGGGGGGGACATGGACAACTGATCATTTTGATTTCATAATTGCAGTGTTTAAAAACAATGTGCCACAACAGTAATACAGTCTATTATCTGCATGATGTGTACAAAATCATTCATAAATAAATCAAAGCATTATGCTGCACAACCAACTGGTGAGGACATGTGTTGTAGTAGTAGCCTATATACAAAACTATATATATTAGCTATAATACAAAATACATTTTATTGCAAGTAAATAATTCTCTCTGTTCCAATAAGGAGCTACAAGTACAAAGACAGTCTCAAAATGAGTTTAGAATTTTATATTTACACTATGTACATTAAGATCCAAGTAACAGTGCATAAATATATTTGTTTTTAACATTGCTTCATCAGACAAAAGTTTTTTAAAAATATTTATAACACAAAAAAAACCCAGCTAAGTTTAAAATATAAATGTATATAATTAAATCAAAAAAAGGGAAAATTGACTAATGAATAATTTCAGTACAGATATAAGAAATAAATACTTGCACTTCCATACT